TTAAGACCTACAAACCCCAGTGCTGTGAGCCAGTAAACTGATACTTATCAAAAGAAGCTTTGCTACAGTTCATTAACCAGATAAAGTGTAGCCCCCCAGCCTGATACACAAATTTATGTTTGGTATTGTATTCCTGTCAGATTTGTCAAACATAGAAGTCATTTATGGTGTACAGGGAACAATTAAATGGTAATTAGAAGATACTTCAAGCCATAAACAAATAAAACTCCATTTAGAATGATGAAGGAGCACAGCAGCCCCTTTCAGCCTTGTGTTCTCATGTACCCCCATGTCCCAGGGATGTGCTCTCAGTTCTGCCGAGCTCCCTGACCTCCAGCTGACCAATTCACACAGTGAAAGGGAACTGATACATTATTTTATTAGCAGCAGAAGGCAGAGGCAACATTGTACACAAAAAGTACCTTGTTTTCATTTTAATAAAATGCCCTGTGCATTCTAGGTATAAAGTAAGGGAGTATATAGGTGCTAAAAACCTAAAACACTTCTCTGCAGGGACACTGAGCCGGAAACATCAGCCACAGATCACAGTGAGATGCTGTATCATCCCAAAACTCCCCATAACAGCGAGGAAAAGGACTCTGAACAGTGAACAACAGGAATTAAAGCAGGCAGTAGCAGAAACTTCAAAGTATTTTCTGGTGGCACAGTGCAGGTCTTCAGAAGTGACTCCCTCCTCCAGACACTGCCATCAGCAACAGACATTGAGCCCTGGAAACCTTGTGAACAAGGAACACTTTGCAGGAGCAGTCACAGGAGGTGGCAATGACAGAGCACAGAGCACAAGATCTGATATGAGCCTGCAATGCCTAAACTCTCCCAGTACTCACCTCTCTTTCTAGAAAGGGCTTTCAGGGGAACCTGAAAAATAAAAGAATTTGACTTCCAGGTCATCTTTGCTGGCCTGAGACCCTTCTGCTGCCACAGAGAAACAGAAAAAAAGGATTTTTTTTTTCTGCCTTTCAAACTGGGAGAAAAACTAGATAAACCTCAGAGTCTTTCTGGTCCTCTGTAAAGCTAAATGTTCTAGAATTAAACTTTTTACTGCTACAAGCAGCCTTTGTCTAGGCCTGAGCTTGAGACAAAGACTTTGAACTATTTCAGTAAAACCAGTACAGCTGATTGCCTCACGCTTGAGCTTTGTGTGTACAAGATGCAAAGACAAAGGTGAATCAAGATACACAGATTTGATCACAAGAGGAAACAAGTAGACAGACAGAGCCGATCATCTCTGGGTTGCCTTCATCATGGCTTTGTTCCAGCAGCCGCTCCAAGGATCACAGGAATGTCATGACTGTCCTGTTCTTGCCAATCTGCCAGGGCTCCAGTGGGTAAAAGCGGATGAGAATCCTTTTGGGTATAAAGCAAAAACATGGACAAGAAACATAATTTTACAATTATTGCTGCCCAGTTTGTAACATAGTAGAAAATCTGCACTAGGGTCTCTCTGTCTTACACTTCAGGGTGTTCATTTAACAGAAGGAAATATAAGCTGTGTATGGGTCAGGGTACAAACACATTTCACCCACACAAACAAAACCAGTCTGTATTTCAACACTTTCAATGACATACTTGTCCATTTTAAAAGGATTCATGTAGTGCATAATCTTGTCAGGGATTTATCCTGACAGCACCCAAGAGGCAGGGAAGTACTATTATCACTCTCCTTTGGGGAGATGGGTAAGACAAGCAGAGACGGACATGGCTGACCTTCAGGAACAGCCTTGTTCCAGCATTTGGAAGGGTGACACCCTGGCAGGGTGAAGCTCTACCAATTCCAGTGGTGTTTCACAGCAGTTTCACCCGCTGTAACTACTGATCTTCAGAGAACAGTAATGCCCAGACTGTTCAACAAGTGCCAGTCTGTAGTTTTATCTGGCTCCAAACCACATGTCAGGGATTCAGCATCCCCGAGCACTTAGTGTTTGCAATGTCGTCTTGGATCTGTATTACCACTTAGTCTCCGGGAGGCCACGGGAACTGCCACTATCTCCAGTGCTCTGAACATCCCCTTGGCACTTGTTTGTCGTGTTCCACGGAGCACAGAGGCCTGTAGGCCCGCCGGGAGGACGCTCCCGTTGCCCTTGGGGCGAGCACGGTGCCCAGGCCGACCCCCGCCGGGCCGCACTCACCGCTCGGGGCCGAGGCCCAGCTGCGCCGTCAGGAGGTCGAAGAAGCGGGCGCTGTGCCCCTTGTTCTGCTCCGCCGTGCCCACCACGCCGATGGACGAGACGACCAGCTGCGCGCAGGGCTCGGCCGAGCCCGACAGCACCATGGGCAGCCCGCTCCGCACCGTCACGTTCACCCGCTGCCGGGACAGCCACGGTCAGCCCCCGCCGCCTCCGGCCCCGCCGCCCCCCGCCCGGCCCCGCTCACCTCCGCCGGTTTGCCCAGGATGTCCGCGGCGGCGGCGCACAGGGTGTGCGCCAGCCCCGGCGGGAGCCGCTCGGCCGGCAGGCTGGTGTCCAGCTCCACGAACGGCATGGCGCTGCTGCCCCGCGGCCCGCCCCGCCCTGCCCCGGCCCCGGTCCGGCCCCGGTCCGGCCCCGGAGCCGCCCGGCGCGGGGCGGGCTCAGCGCCGGGACCGCCCGCGCAGCGCGCAGCCCCGCAGCGCCCCTCGCTCCGCGCCGGCCTCGGGCGGGTCACCGCGCTTCAGCCCAGCTGCACCGACTGCCTGCCGGGTGATGGTTTCCCCCCTCTCGGCCTCCTAAATTATCAGGCTAACCCAGAGACCCGAGGCTGTGAGGGGAGGAATATCAGGAGAGGGCAAAGATTTCCCAAAGAGGCTCTTACCCCGATATATGTTGGTGCAGCTCTCTTTATTCTGTGATGTCCATGGGGAGAGCGGGGCAAAGAGGACGAACAAGAAATGTCAGGGGTTTATCCAGGCTTTGGACAGGCTCTCCGCCAACCCTGTCAGGGCAGGAAGGAGGGGTCCCGGGGAATGGGGAAAAGAACGCCCATGAGCACAAAGTAACAGCCGGGCTCACCCAAATGGGCATTGCTGGGGTGTGCACTGGAGGCTGCGAGACCAAAACCATCACATCTCACTAAGGGATGCCTAGAATGAGTTTTGTGACAGCCCTTACTGCCACTGGAAAAACATTTCAGGTCGCTACAACATACACCTTTGTGCAGGGAGGGCTGAGAATGGAAGTGTGGTAATTTCTCTTAACCAAAATGACAAGAAATTTAAAAGCAAGCAGAGAGGTTTACTGCTTTATCCAACGTGTATTAATTACAAGGACTTTGAGCAATCAGGACTTTGAACTCCCAAGTTGATAAGTGACCTGGCACGCTGGCTCACAGCAGCAGTCTAATCTACAGATCACAGGTGTCCAAACTAGAGATTAGAAGCTTCTCAGAGGCTGAGCTACTGTCCAGTGAGGTTCCATGAGCACTTTTACAATAAAAGGTTATGAATCAGCTGTACTAAAACGTCATCATTTAAGGTACAAAACTGTTGGGAAAATTTGCCTTGTGTAATGTGACATATTGGTTTTTTACAATTACACAATCACAATTCCAGACAATGCTAATGAAAACTGATTAAATTGCTTTTTGGTTTTTTTTTGCTTGGCCTTCACTGCTGCTAGTGAAGACAATACTGGCCCAGAGTTATGTGCGAAAAACAGCCAGGAAGAAGGCTGGGCAAAGATTTCTAGAACAGAAACCTTGGTGAAAATCACCATGAGAAAACAACAGGTTTTTTAGAACTTGCTGGCAAAAAATGTCACTGGCCAAGACATGGTAGCACTAAAGGAAAAAAATAACAAACAGTTATTTGATTAGTGAAAGAAGCAATTCCTGAATTCCATGACTCGTTTTAGTTTTTACAGGAAGAATTTTTGGCAAGGATTTTAGGGTAAGGGCAACAACTACTTATGAACAGAAATATAAAGATATATATTCTACCAATTTCTACATCCTTTACATTTTGTTATTTTCAACTGAAGAAACTGGAAATAGTTGGATTTGCTCAGTTTTATCTCATAAATTGTGCTGCAATACAAAAGGATTTAGTGTTTGAGCTACAACTGAGCAGAAACAAACAGCCAAGAAAAAGTGCCCAAAAGCTCCAAAAGAACTCTTTGCCCTTTTATTGTGATGCATGTGTTGCTCAATGCCACAAAATCTTTCTTATTACTTCAGCTGCACTGGGTGACTTACTTGGTGAACTTCCATCCAAAACAGGCTCAGAAGAGCATGTCTGCATTTATTCCCTCTCTGCATTTCCTAGGAGAAATGTGCTATTACAGTATTACCGTAGAAAAAAAACCCAGTTTGTGTACTGTTATATTCTCTTTTACAGAAACACTGTGAATGCATTCTTTCAGGGTACTCCCTATATAATATCAATGTGGGTTTTTAGGTAGGCAGTTATTCCAAGGCTGTGACCACCAGCAGGATGAATTTCCTAGAACAGCTGCTGCCACACATGCACTTGTAGACAGAGCATCAACAGAAGCCAGGCTTTCAGAAATCCAAAGCAGTAGTTAAACTGAGGAATTATAAAGATTCACCATTGTAGATGAATAAAAAGAAATTTCTCAAAGGAACTTCAAGGGAAAAAGATGTGTGGAATGTAATGGACAGCCAAACAAGATGCCTCAACAATAAGAAACCTTTAAATTTTTTTTTTTTTCACTTTTGTGAAGTAGTTTTGTGCTCTACTTGTCTGTGCAGCCACATGCTGGGAAGATGAGGATCAGGCACACTTTGCAGTACAAATGTTAAAATTGGAAACAATCATCCTCATCCTCATCCATTCAGTTCTTTAATGTCCCCAGTTTGTAGGCTGGCTTGAATTCTGTCAGGAAATACCATTCTTGTCTCTACCATCTCTGAGAAGACTGACACTGAAATAAAATCCAGATGCATGTTAAGCGACCTGTAGGGCCTCAGCCTTCTGTATAAATTTAATGTTTTAGGTCATAAACATTCCCCAGCCTCCACCCCCAAAGATACAAGAAAGACCTGGCTCATAGGGAAACACTCTGTAATTTCTGTATTAGAATTACAGTGTTCTTGCCCATTACATGGAGAACTGGATGTCAGAGAAGAAGTTAAAAAGGAAAAAAAACAAAGGGCAGGAAAAATGCTGTGATAGGTTAATTCATTTCAACATCTTCATCAACACAGGTGCCAGTTGCTCTTTCAGCTGTGGATCAATTTGAATATTGCTCAGTTCTTTGATATTGAGGATCATCTCATGGGCTTGGAAAAAAAGCTCTTTCCCCACAGCATCCTCCACCCGCCTGCGCCACTCCCTCAGCCTGGGTCTGTCTTCAAAGATGTCACAACCAACTCCAACAGGCTGCAGAGGGGAGAGGAAGCAACAGTGAGGCTTGGGGCAGTCACTTCTTAACTGAGACAACAGGCACTAAAAATATACTTGCAGATTAAAGGGGAAAAAAGGAAGAGCTCACAGAGGAGCAGTAGGAAGGAGGGAAATCTCTGGTCAGTGTAGCTTTCTGGGGGACACAAAAGCTAACCTTTGTATTTTAAAGGGCATTTAAACTCAGTTCCTGGGGGCTGGAATAGCTGTTCAGTGCAGCATAGATAAGCACATTCTGTGAGTGGTTTTCAGCCACGACACTGAAGATGTGGTGGGCTGGCAGTCCCAGGGACCACTGCCCAGTTTGCAGTACAGAGTGCTGGATTGTACAGCAACACCCAGCACAAAATATGTTTAACTGAACCAGTGCCCTAACTAACATAATCTATCTGCTTTCTGCCTGTGCCACTCTCTGAAATTCACTGTAGAGAAGCAGAACTGCTGTTTTTCAGTCCCTTAGACACTGAACTGGGAGAAAGAAGTCCTTGCTGGGCTGAAGGATCCAGGCCCTGGTGGTCTGGCAGGGAAAAACCAGTTTGTAACAGACTTAATTTGATTGCCTCTATCTGAGCTTAATTCTTTCATCTTCCAGACATGGCATGGGCAAGTATTATATTCTTGAATAATAGAAATATTCCTATATGGTTGTTTCATTTCATCAGACCTGTCTGCTATTGCTTCTCATTTATATATATTACCTCCTTCTCTGGAGGTTAAAAATAAAGTAATGATAAAAAATGAAGAAAAAGTTATTGCTAGAGATGAGAAACAAAAGAGATCTGTTGCAGACAGCTTTTTCTTTTGATTTTCATTGCTGTTCTGAACCCACTCCCACATTCTCCTCATTGTCTTAGGCCAGTTCTGCTGAAATATGCCTTGCTTCTCCTGCTAGTGAATAGTTTCCCCGTGCTGTCCCCTCCCTGCTCAGCAGCATTTGTTTTCCTTGTGCTGACACTTCCTCACCACGCTCCAGGCACTCACTTGCATCAGTTCCACAATGGCCACAAGATCTGCCAGGGAGATCTCACTCCCAATGATAAAAGCCTTGTCCTGCAGAAACCTCTCCTCAAATTGCTTCAGGGAAGTGGACAGCCCCTCCATAACCTCCTGGAGCTTCTCTGAGGCCAGAGGCTGCCCTGTGAAGAGGGGAATCAACACCTGAGGAGAGAAGGGACATCATAGTACACATGAGCATCTTCTCTGGTACTAGTAATTGAAGTTACACCCCATGATCATCAGTGGCCTGCAATTAAGCCACAGAAGGGGATGGCAGAGCTTCATGAGCTGTGGCAGCTCCACAGAGCTCCTGGGCAGAGACCATGCCAGCAGTCCTAAGTGTGACCTGCCACAGCAGTGACCTCCAGCTAATCAGCAGCAATGTGCAGAACAAAATCAAGGATCTTCACCTTATTTTGTGCCTGGCAGCTGTGCCCTCCCACTCCACCCTGTTGGGCTACAAAAGAAAAATAGGCAACAGCTCTAGGGAAGACAAATCTCTGCCACAGTCACCCCTGCTACATCCTCTGTGTTACCAGGAGCTGCCCTGCTGTGGAACTGGGTGGTGCAGGCAGCTGCCTGTCCCGCAGGGTGCCAGAAAGGAGGGAATGGTGGTGGCTGTGGCAGGAGCATCAGAAGGACTAGAATTCATCAACAATGCCTGGAGACACAGAAATGGCTTCCTCTGTGTGACAGCAGCCAGCAAGGCTGGAAGTGGTCAACACCACTTTTACACAAATCTTTCAGTGGCTTAAAGCGCCATTCTTTAAACCACTAGAATTATTTTCTGGAGCAATCACACAAGTGCAGTCCTTGTATCTGCACAGACTTGCTGGCACAGGAGGCAGTTGCCTTTCCACAATATTTTTCACCAGTCACGGAGGTGTATGCACCACTGGAGCCCAGTGTTTCACAGCTGTGCTGCCTTCACCTTCCACAGCTAAAGAAGTGCAGTTTGTTTAGAGAATCAAAATTATAAACACAATTTTCAATCAGTCCGAGTGAACTGATTTCTACTTACTGCTCATATGTGCAACAATTCAAGTTGGGATTGCTTAATCCAAGCCAGGATTTTGGCCAAATACATGTGGAATCCATTTCATCAGAAAATTTGTGGCCAGTTCTCTCCCTAAGTGATTTCAATTATGCATGGTGGGATCTTAGGGTAAAATCACTTGAAACAGCGTCTTCTTTCTTTTCCTTATCTCAGGACTGTCTTCCCATTTTCTGTCTTCTCCCATTTCTAGCTAACATGCTTTTCTTACATGGTGGCTTCATATGTTTCCATATTTACAGTTATTCTGAGAACCTTTTCTGCGTCTGGGCTATGTAATCACCATCAGCAGCAATTAGTTGGATTTCTTTCCCTTGGAGCACTGCAGGCTTCCAGTATGCAGAAGCTGGAAGAAACTGCTTCTTGTATGAATCTGCCTCATATTTTAATTGCTCCTCTGTACTCTATAGCCAAACAATCAACTATCAATAAATTCAAGAAGATAAATGAGTCCTGATATGCTTTGTTAGGCACAAACAAGGGCAGACTTCACAAGGGAGTAGTGAAGTTACCTGTTTACTAGCAATTGTGATTTCATCTGAAATTCCATACCAGCTGTCCTTGCAGAGCTATACTTGCACCTAGGTCTCTCTAGGGATAGTTGCATTAACTGTTTGGTGAAATGGCTGGAAATAGGTGTCCAGCAAAATCATCTGCTACTAAATGGCTCAGGATGGATCAGGTAATTTTGCCTAAATGTAAATTGACCTGATTATACTGAGTGAAGAAAATCTGCCTCTCAGTGCCTCTCTGCTCTCTCTCCCTGAGCATATTTCAGAGAAGCACATAAGCATGCTGGAAGCAGAAGACTCCTTCTGCATTTCCACCCTTAAGAGGCTTCAGGAACTCTTATGAAGAATGCAAGTCTTTCTGCTTCCAGCAACAAAACACATGTTCACCAAAGCCAAACTCTGCCCATGTGCACACTCTGCACAGCTGTTTAGGGAGGGAGAGGCCCTTGGAAGCAATACTAAGTCTGTTACATATTTGCTCACAAATCCAGGCAATGAAAGCCTGTTGAGTTTGAGACCTTCTCTTCTGTACCAGATTTTGTTTAAGGAAAAAACCAAAATGGCCAAATCTGCTTTTGCCAGATCCTGATGTTGATCAGTTTGAAACAGCTCCCTCTCTAACAGCTCCTTTCAGTCAGAATGGCCCAGGTTTGTTGTTTAATCACAACAAACTGTCTGTGAACCGGGGCTGTTAGGGTGCTCGGTACTCTCACTGAGGACCACATCACTTCACTCACGTTTTACATCCAGTCTCCTTACCTTGATCCACATGGTCTTTGGGGCGTTAGCTCGGATGTTGGTGTGGTGCCAGGAGAGGTACTCATCCACCCGGGCCCGTTTCTGTATGTCCGAGGGGTACCAGTGGTCAGGAGTGTTGTACTTTCTGCTCAGGTACAGCAGGATGGCAGTGCTGCTCACGCGCCAGCAGGAGACAAGAAAGGGGTCAGGCGGTTACGATGCAGAATGCTTTTGCCTAAGCTCCCTCTCCTGCTCCTTCTCAACTTCTTTCTTCCACTAAAAAACATTCCAATCAGGATTTCCAGTGGAGTCTAGGGACCATATAAAAGCATCTAATTCATGTTGACATCAGTGCCCTTCCATGAAAACTTTAACCTGCTGGAAAATGACTGCACTGTTCTGTGGTGCTGCTGGACAGTACTGGGTCAAACAAACAATGAACCTCCATGATTATCAGTGATGGTAACCCCACTTGCTCCTTGCCTGTTCTGACCCATCTCTCTGAGACCTGTGCTGTTTCTGTGCCTGTGTACTAAATGAAACTCTCTGATGGGTTATTGCTGCCTTTTCATCAGATCTGACTCCAGCATGCAGCTTCCACTGAAGTCAGTGGAAGTCTCAGCAAGGAAATCCTACTGAATCTTTTTGTGTTTTTTGTGTTTGTCCAGATGTTTATATTTTCACTAACTGGCAGAAGTCAGATGGAAAAATATCTTAGTCATTTGCAACAATACTCAGGCTATTACTACAAAAAAAACCCAAAAAACCAAAAACCAAAAACCAAAACAAAAACAACAACCCCAAAAAAACCACAGAAAATGTGCTGGCAAAATGGAAGAAAATGCAGACACACCTACCATGCTGATACTGCTATAGTTCAATTGTTTCAGTATTATGACATCATTAACTAGTCTCCATAATAATCTTTTAATGTAAAGTCTAAATTTTATCTGTGTAGATGTTCTCTCAGCTTTTATAACTAATTCAGATAAACAGAATTCTTTCCTAGAGTAGAAGGGATTTCTTTTCCTAGGGTGAAAGGGATTTTTATAAGCTTGAAACATCTCCCAGAAATGTTTATAATCCCATTTTGAGGTAAGTGCATTCAGGGTGAGATGAAGAAGCTAAGTCAGCTGAGTTGTTTACATTCTGAAAGATAATTCAAACAGAAAATGGAAAGAGATCAAATGAGGTTATACTATTAAAAATAACCAGCATGTTAATATATTCTGTGATCCTCAATTATCCCATGGGAATGACATCTTCTGAATGCAGCACAGATTGCTGGTACCCAAGGAAGTCTAAGGACTGAATTCTTACCATTCTGCAAGGGTGAAGTCTCCATCCTTCAGCGCTGGTACTTTCTTCAAGAGGCTGACTTTGCCTGCACCTTCACTATTCGATGGCCCTAAGAACATGAACAGACAAGTCTGAGGTTAGAAGTGTATCTGCCAGTTCATGATAAATGAAATATCTGCAGCCAGCTGGATAATCAGTGAACAGTGTGAGGTTTTCCCAATAGGGTCATAGCTCACAAGTGAAAGGTAATGAAATGGCAGAGTCAGTGTAAGAGCTGTCTGCAGAGGCAGCAGGCTCAGAGTGGCCACATGGCATGGAGCACTTTATATTTTTATATTTCTAACAGGAGTTCTCTCGCTTGGCTCAGGTACCAGGATACTTGCAGAACTTAGTGACAGAACAGACATTGGCTAGGGGCAGGGAAGCTCAGACACCTCAACCCTGCACTACTCCTGACTCTGTGTCACTCCTGGCTCTGTATGTCAACCTACTTCCAACAGGAAAACACAGGAGGAAGACACAATTCCATAAGAATTTAAACTCCACAGTCCCTTGGAGGAATTAACAGCTGGCTATCTAATCAGGCTTTCAGTTTCCCACTGCTGGCACCAGACTTGCCAGTCTGCAGTTAAATGCCAGGGAATTGCACAACAGCCCAGGAACACCTGAGTAAGAAAAGCTGTGAGGAATTTGTTTGCTTTGCTTGTTTTAAGTTCTCCTGAAGAGACATGACAATTAGAGTGCAAATCCTGATCAAACCAGCATGACCAGCAGGAGGTCTTGTACAAAACTCCCTTTGTTCAAAAAAAGTCAAGAAAAAGAATCATTAACTTACAGTGACCTGCATCTCTGAGAACTCTTTGTACCCATTGAGGAAGCAGTAGCAGTGGCTACATTACTGGACAAATGTACAGTGGGAAATAATCTCTGGGAAATAAAACCAGCCTCTGGACAAACAAGTTTATTTTCATCTGGTTTGGGAAGGCTGGGAGAAGGCAGGCTGCTGCATTACAGTTACTGACTGCTTTCCCTTGTATCGATTTCACATGAGTTAAATCAAGCAGAAAATACATTACCACTTGGTCTCCTTTCCAGCTGACTAGCCTCTACCTTGTTTCTTCTTTGAAAAGATGTTTGTTTTTTTTTAATTCCAGTGTTAAGTAGCTTCATCAGAGATTAAGGTTTACGCTCATCTGTGATTTGAAGGGATTCCAACCCACATTTTCCCTTTCATTAGGAAAAGTCTCTGTCTGCCTGCTGTGAATATGGCTTCCAGCTTAGCTGGGTAAGAGGTTCCATCTGCTCAGCAGAACCAGGCAACACTGTCCAGAGAGGTAGGAAACCCTAAGCAGGGCTTCTTAAAAATAATAGCCTGACAGAAAGCACAAGTTAAGCCTAATAACTGAGAAAATTGAGTATAAAAATAAAAATGTCCAAAAGTGGGCAAAGTACTGGATGTCTCACCTCCATGATTTGTATCACAGAAACAGCAAGACAAATGTTACATGCAAGGAATCGCTCAGGGAAGTTGCTTTGTTTTGTTCTTTTAGAATGGCCCCAAAGGCCTTTGGTCACCACACACCCAGACCTGTTGAGATCTCTAGTGTTCACCTGGCCTTTGGAAAAATGCAGTAGAAAGTTGCCAGTCAGTGATGCTTACAGCTAATGAGCAATCCCTCGTCAGACCCAGCTGTTTGGTTGTCCTGCTGTCTGTGTTTATTATCCAGGGCAGCAGGGAACTAAGAAACAAGGATATGAGAAGTAAGCAGTGGGTGAGGGCAGCTTGAATCAGATTTCAGAGAGCTTTCATCATAGAGCAGTTCTAGCAGGAATACTGAGGATATTTGTTCCCTGACGGAGCTAACAGCAGGCTGGACAGTAGTTCAGTGTCTGTGACACAGCCAGCACCACAGCCTGGGGATGGAATCAGTTACTTTGGTTTGTAGATAGACATAAAAGACCCGTGCTGAGACTCTGACTGAGCTGTGAACTGGTAAATGCCTTGGTGTGAACACTAACTCCAGGCTGCTTCATTGGGACCCATTGCTTATTGTATGAAAATAGAGACCAATACTTGTATTTGCAGTTCAGCAGAACTTAAGCTTGTGCCTCTCTTCCAGCCAGCAGAGCCAGCCTTTTTGTTTAGTGGTATTGGGTGGTCCATCTTTATCATTCCTGTGATGTTGGCTTGACTTACAGTTCTGTTTAACATCAGTTGTACCTGGGGTAATTAGTTCTTGATGACTCCCAAGGATGGATGGATGTACAGATATATAGATAGATATAGATACAAAGACAATGTGTATTGTTGGGCTTTGAGATGTAACTTTAACAAGCAGAGTATCCACAGTCAAAAAGCAGGGCAGACTACACACATGAAGAAATCTTAAGCCTATGTCATAGTGTGGAGAAGGAGGTTTATTGGTGAGTGAAAAGAGCAGCAGAGAAGATTTTATGGAAATAGAAAGTGGGGAAATCCCACTCTTTTTACCAACCTTATCCTCTAATCCTCGACCAAGGGTTTCAAAGTAACGCGCTTTGCCTTAGGCGCAAAAGTAACAATTTACAGGAAAACGCAGCATTTAAATGGACAACAGTCATAAAGTTGGAGGAGCCTGAACAGGGCTGCCGCAAAGTACAGCATTCCCAGAGCGCTCCTCGGCTGTCAGAGTGACTAATTTGCTAGAAATGGCTAGAGGAACATTCCTTGGAGAGCCACAAAAATAGACGCAGCAGAGCTACGGGACTACTCTGGGAACTGGAGCCGTTCAACGCCCCTGGGCAGCACAGGGATCCAGCATCACCCGGTGGCCCGGGGCGCTCGTCCTTCCCTCGCACCGGGCAGAAGGACGCGCTGCAGCCCCAGTGCCGGGGGGCGAAGGGGTTGCCCCGGTGTCGGTGAGAGCGACCCTCCGCCAGCCCCGTGGGGACCCTCCCGTCCCTGCCCGGCGCTCACCTGCGCGGGGCCGCTCCGCGCCGCTCCCCGCCGCCGCCTTCCTCGCCAGCACCGAGCCTGCCAAGAGCCAAGAGAGCGGCTGAGCCCGCGCCCCGCCGGGCCGCGCCCGCCCCGCCGCGCCCGCCCCACCTTTGAACAGCTCCACGTGCTTGAACTCGAAGGGGATGTTGTTGCTGCGGGCGAAGATGTAGATGGAGCGGCAGGGCTGCGAGAGCAGGTCCAGGTACAGCTCCAGCCCCATCCCGACCCGGCGGGGAGCAGCCGCGGCTCTGCCGCCGACCGCCCGGAGCCGCCCCGCGGGGGCCGAGCCGCGCCGGGCGGGAGGTGCCCTCCGTCCCTCCCTCCTGCCCTCCCCCGGGCCGTGCGGGCGGCAGCAGAGCGAGCGGGGTCTGTGCCTTGTGCTCTCCGCTCTCCTCCGTGGCCAGGACTGGAGAGAGCCGGAGGGCCCCAGGACAGCCCACCTCAGCCGGGGCGGGAGGCACGGCCGGAGTTGGGATAGGGGTTACAGAGTTCTCCTTGTCACAGCGTCAGGAGGCCCTGGCCCGCTGTGGCTGGCATGGTGTTCATTCATTTTCCTTCGGGAAGGGAGGGAAAGGTAACGTGAGTAATGACAGGAGTAGCGCTCAATTACCAGGATCACAAGAGGCTGGTACTAAGCAGTAAGAGAGACGGGGCTGTCGCTCCGCTCCACAGCTTTGCTGGCACCGCAGGGGTTTGGGAGCTGCTCACCCACGGCATCCCACTACGACTTTCACAAGGTAAATGCTGAGTTTTTTAACACAGTCCCGCGGGGCTGTGCCACGCTGCAGACAGCGCCTTTGCACAGTGTCCTCGGAGCCGGTGTTAATCACGCACCGCCAGATCTCAGCAGGGCTTTCTGTTCAGAACATAATTCTTTCGTCATATAGTCTCTGCTGCAAGGTGACAGCTGAATGGCAGTGAAGTGTGGAGGACTTCTGTGTGTACATTACATCTGCATACTCAGTCAAAGTGACTTTCCTCTCCCTGGTATTTGTCATTTGCACTGAGCCCAGAGCTCGGTGCACAGCTGTGTGATTTTGGGAAGGTGACATGCTGGCTGAGCACAGGGATTTGTGGGACCTGTGACATAGAGCAGCTGAACCACTCAGGGCAAAGTCACCCCCAGTCAAACCCACCTCAGCTGTGCTGACACCTTGCTATCAGTGTTGTGCCACAGAGCTCGTATGTCATACACAGATCTTTGGAAAGAACCATAGGAATCTCAGGGAGAGGAAACTGGAGGATCCAGTTGCTCTTTTTCTTGTGAAAAGGCTTGGGTACTGATCTGGGAGCTTTTGGACTAGACAAATTACAGACTGGGACATTTCCAGGGGTTTAGAACTTTCAGATTTAGAAGAGCACTGTAAGAATTTTTCAGTTTCTCAGCCAGAACACGGAGAGGGGCTGTGCACCCCTTCACTTCCCCTGCAGCACAGTTCAGCCTCTCGAGCACCTGCACCCAGCACTGACATGCTGGAGATCACAGCTCACAGAGCCTTGTGGCAGCTGCTTGAGTTCAAACTCCTTCAGTGCAAAGGAATCTGAAATGTTGAGGGAGTGGAGAAAAGGAGCATGAAAGTGGCTCTGCACAGGTAAATAGTCAGAGAAGTCTTTGTGCTTCAAAGTGCTCCCATGCCCATACTCTGAGAAATCATTGAGAAGAGTGTTGATCTCAGCAGTGTGCAGCAATATTAGCAGTGTGGGTTCACTTTGCTCCTTTATTCATGGTTCAGTTGATCCATTAGTCCTATCTGAGCTTCAAAGATCTTTTCATGTGCTGCGTGGAAATGTTCCTTCCTTAAGTTTTTCTCCAATTTGCTGACTGCACTGCACAGCCCACATAACCAAAGAGGTATTTTTATCTGGTTGTGTTATAGAGCATTTGATTGATTATTCCTGGCTCCAGGCTAGTGCTTCTAGCACTGTATTTTCATTTGACTCCGTCACCTCTAAGACCATTTTTCCTGCCCTTATTTTCTCTGTCAGCATTTTGGAAACAGGAAAAAGACAGAAAAAAAATGCATTAAGTTTTACAGCTTATTTCTTAATAATTTAGAATTCGTCTCAGGATGTCTTTCTGTTTTTTAAACATTCCTCCTATTTTGTATGTTACAGCTTCATTTTCTTCCAGAAATCACAGGTTCTCACTTATTTCCAAATAGCTCTGGCAGGAATTGAGGAAGTTGAATGGAACACATTAGATTAAGGTGACACGTGAAGCTGACAGTGGAGGTGTAATCCCTCTCCCTTTTCAGGGTGAAAGGGGAGTAGACACTCAACAGACCTTGTACCAAGACAAGCAAAACTCTTGCACAATCCGTTGGGTTTTGGGGGGCAGCTCCCACGGCTTTCAATCTAGGAACTGGAACCAGACAAGTTCCAATGACACAAAGGAACAAAATACAGAGGTGGAGGGATAGCAAAAGGCAAAGTACAAGGATAAACAGCCTTATCTCCATGAATTAGAGCAAAGAACAAGGCAGATTTATCTGTTTTATAACTCTGTGGCCATCCAAGGTGTTACTTTAGGGAGGTGCTTTGTCCTGTGGGAATGGAAGAGCTCAAAATGCCACTGGTCACTGCATATATGCCAGGCAGAAAGTATGGGAAGAACAATTTAAATTCCCTTCCTGTCATCATGGCCAGGATGGAGTGAGGCAAGTGTACTTATCCTTTGTGAAACAGCAGTGGAGGAGCACCAGAGAACCAGCTCTGAACATAGCTCCAGCTTGCTTTTGAAGGCAGCTGTCCTTGCAGGAGTGCACAATGGGTTACATTTAAGGACCTTGTGCTTCATTCCAAGCAGAACATTGGCTCAAAACTCTTACATGGAGCTTTTGTGCTACAAATATAGTAAATAAAAAAAGTTTTAAAAAGACACTGTATTTGCCTTGGTTTTTGCAATGGTTTGCATGCAGAGCAGCCCTGTCTGGAGATTCTGCAGGGAGATGTGTGCCACAAAAGGCTCTGCTCCTTAAGTCCATTTTGAGATCTGTCAAGACTAGCACCCTACAAAATAGACTCTTGGTTTTGATTGTTTCTCTGCTCTGCTTATACTTGAACAGAAAGTGTGGGCAATATTTATCATGCTGGTAGAAGTTTGCTCTGTCCAAGAAAGGGAAAAGTTGAAAGTCAGGGAAGGCACAAAGGTGCCAACAGCAGCGTGCAGCGAGGCTGGGCAGCAAAGGCACCTCTTCAACTGCAGGGGTGCAGAGCAGCCCAGCTGGGAGCGTGATAAAGCTGCAGTTAGAGGAAGGAAGTGGTACAACATAAACACCTCCTGGGGCTCAGCACTGTGGCAGCTGCAGCAGCACAGGCTGTCAGGCATTGCTGCTCAGGCACCAGGCCCCGCTAGGGCCAGAAGAGAGCTGCTCTCATGGGCTCTGCTCACTGGCATGCAACAGGCCCTTCTCAACAAATTTACCAATAAAACATCAGGTAAGAAGACAAATATCCCTGCATGTATCTGCACAGAATGGGAGAAAGTTTGAGGGCAAATGTGCCTTTTTACCACTGACACTGAGGGTTTCCTGCAGGGTGGAAGGATGGAAAGCAAAGGCACCAGGCTGCTTGGCTCCTATAGCTCAGCCTGCAGGCAAGTGCAGTGCAGACTGTGGTTCGTGTGGCCCTTTGAACTAAAGGGCAGGTTTACTCAGAAAACAAACAGAAATCCAGCTGGCTCACTCCCCAAAAACAGTGGATCCAACTGAAAGGATGTGTGAGACTTTGAGCAGCTCCAGTCACCATTTCTGGGCGCTGCAGAAACTTGACTTGCATTCAGACTGACACCTCACAGCTAGCATAGTGTGCAGCCTTCCCCATGGATGGTGCAACCAGCAGCAGAGACAAACAGACTTCCAGGTACACACACAGCTTAGCAAGGAGGGGAGAAAAACAAATCTGCAAACTGGAAGCTTCCTCATGGAGGCCTGTGCCTGGAAATGGGAGGTCACAGGGACAGCACAACAGGAAAGCAGGAATGGCACAAAGGGACACAGGCTGTGGTTATGAAGGGTGTTGCACAGGTGTGGAGGATGACTTAATGTCCACTTTCTTCCAAATCCTGGTTACAAATCCAAACAGAGCAACAACACTTGGCAAATGCAGCCATTGGCTTTATGGAGAATACTGAAGAGCAGTGGAGCATTAACCATGTGTGGGACATTCTCCAGCTCATGTACCAAGCTCTCTGCTCACACAGGGCTGGCCTGCACAGCTCCCTGTGCTACCAGGCTGACAGCCTGGCCAAAATGGTTTCTGCTGTGCTGACAAACCACTGTGGCTTGTGGTTTGCAGCAGCTTGACCAAGAAAAGCAGCTTTTTTCCACTGTGAAGAATGTTCTTTATAGAGTGTAGCATGAGTCTCTGGGTGAGGAGCTTTATTGACTGTCCTTGCCAGAAGCTGGAGGCACCCCTTGGGTACCAGCACAGCTCCCTGCTCCTGGGCACTGTGTCCCTTTGCTCTCACAGGTGACGCAGCAGCATCTAGTGGCCAGATGTTCCAAAGGCCCTGGCAGGATTCCCACGGGGGCTGGCTGTTGACCTGTCTCTTTCCTAAAGAGCAAAAATCTTCCAGCAGACTGTTTCCACTTGGCAAAGTGAAAACCACCTGCTGCAATGTTTTTTCCTTGTTTCAGACACACCTGTTCTGCCACACCCTCAGGAAACCTCTGCTCTGGCCTGAAAAACTCAGAGCAGAGGTGGGAGGGCAGCTCTGAGTGCCCCAGCTCCCACACAGACTGAATCACCTCAGCCAGCCCTGGAACACAGCCAGTGGTGCTGCAGCATGAAAGAAAAGCCTACAGGGCTACACTTCCCATGCTGCAGTGGACAAGAGGGAAAAGCTGCTCATGGCAGTGTAAGATGCATTTTTCTTCCCTTCTAAGTTGCAGAAAGGCTGTGAATGAAGGAAAGCACATTTTGTGGAATGGTGTTTATGATTTTTAGAAGAAATGCTGAAAGACTACAATAAGCCTTCAGAAAAATAATCCATTTTATTGGAGCATAACCCTCTAATTCTGCTTTAGGAGCTGCTGCTTGAAATTCTCGATCAACTCAGGTGCGAAATGGTCAGCAGTCAAGTTCTTAACGTTCATGATCTCCTCGTGGGCTTCCTGGAAGAGCTTCTTCCCCACAGCTTCTTCCACCCGCCTGCGCCACTCTGCCAACTTTGGCCTCTCCTCAAAGAGGTTGTACCCAGCACACACGGGCTGCAGGGACACACACAGCACGGGGAGTGAGGCAGACAGGGCATTTGCCAGGGATGGCACCAAATCAAAGTGGATATGCTGCTGGCTCGAGGCAGCAGACAGTCGTGATGTTGGGTGGAGCTCATCTCTGGCTCTCGGGTCATAGGAGGCAAAGTGGTGACACCCTCAGCAGCTGCTGTCCCTTGGGATGTGCAGCAAAGAGCTCTGCCATGGCTAACCCGAGAATGGTCTAACTCAACATGGAAATCATGCACACCAACACAGCTCTTCCAAATCTCTGTACTTTCCTGCCTAGTTGGTAATTTATCTTTCTTTCCCGATCAATTCTATCCATAT